TAATACCCTGATATCGATTATCTGCATCTCATCTATCATAGGCAGTGGCTTATTTTGATGGCTCCCGTCACTGCTGTTTTTTTCTATGCTCTCAGAATGTTCTGGCTTAATGGTTTGTGGAGTGTGGTGACTGAGATTGGAGGTTCCTGACTGCTTCATGGCTGTGGCATGCCTGCTGCCTGGGAATATTTCTGTGCAAGGGTAAAGGATGCCCAGTTGTAATGGTGACACAGCAAGAGGCTCTGTGCCAGAGTCTTATCAGTCTTGACCTTGAGCTCAGGCACATAGCTTCCAGGGATAGAGAAATTCTGAGCTTGAGGAGACAACCACAATGTTTCACCAGCTGCTACTTCTGAGCCCACCTGCTTAATGGTAACTTTAGACAATGGGTTTCCTGAAGTGCTGCAGGAAGCTCCAAGCATTGCAACAATGAAATAGCTACAAGAATGTTTCTAGCCCTATAACTTTCTAGTGCAAAAGAACAATGCCTCTGTAGTCCTTAACCTCTTGATTATGAGACCCTATATAAATAAACGTGCTAGGCCAGCTCTACAGTCACTGTTTCTCCATCAGAGTGCAGTGTTCCATCTGATCCTCCCTCTTCCTCAATCTCTGTGTGTGTGTGTTTTTGTTAATCCCCCTTGCTGGTTTCTAGGGTTCAGTTGTGCAGGTCACGGCAAGGGTTGTCAGAGACCCTTTCCCTGGGTTGCTTTTAGCATAGTTCCCATAAGCTGAAGTTTCATAATGTTTTTATGCCTACATTAATAATAATCTCCCAATTCATCAGCTCTAATATTTCTTCATATGGGACCTCACCTCTTCTTTGCCTCCAGGTATTGGTGATATTAAAATTATTTAACATCTGGAATGGGAAGGACATGGGCTAAGATATCCAAGATATACGTTTGCCCTTTAGTTTTTATATCCTAAGGAGATTTGAGCAACAGAAGGTAATGTGGTTGGAGAGTGAAAGAGTATTTTTTTCTGTGTTCCTCTCATAAAAGAGATTTTATCATTTTAAATAGCTTTTATTTATTCCTTCATTGGGCAAATATTGAGGACAACTCCATGGCAGGCATAATTCTGGGTGTTACAGTTAATGCTATGAAACAGGCTCTCTGCTTTTGTGAAGCTTATATTCTAGTGGGTGTAGACAAAATAGATAAACACATGGAATGTTGGTTAATGACAGATATATACATAAGAATCAAGCAGAGAAGTAGGCTGGAGTATGATGGAGAATATAGAGATAAGATATCTTACTTACATCTTAGATGGGTGATCAGAGAAGACCTCTGAATTTGATCAGAAATCTTAATGAAATAAAAGAGGGAATAATGGGTATGTAGGAATAACGAATTTGAAGGCCCTGTAGGGGTGTGCATGTGCTCCAGTCTTAGATTTTTTAAAAAATTTATTTTTCAGTTAGTTGGAGACAATACCTTTATTTATTTATTTTTATGTGGTGCTGAGGATGGAACCCAGGGCCTTGCACATGCTAGGCAAGTGCTCTACTGCTGAGCCCCAACCCCAGCCTTTTAGATTTTTAATGGACCAGTTTCTTAATTTTTTCCTTAAATCTGCCCTTTGCCTTGTAGTTGAACTTCAAAACCCTAATTAAGATATCTTTCCTCTGTAATAGATTTTTGCTTCCATCACCTCTGTTAATTCAGAAGGAGAGGGAGAGGGAGAGGGAGAGGGAGAGAGAATAAGAGGAGGAGGAAGATGAGGAAGAAGGGTAGAGAGGGAGGAGAACTAAGAAGAAGAAAGAGGATGAATAAGAAGAGGAGGAGGAGGAAGAAAAGGTGGCAACAATGATAGAGGAGAAGAAAGGGAGAACATAATGGTGTCACTCTTTCATCGTCTCTTGGCACCTACATGAAGAAAGAGCTGCACTATGAGTAAGGCAGGTCCAATCTGAGTCTGTATGTAGATTAGACATAAGGCAGTAGGAATTGACTTTATTTTGGGTTGTCTGACTCCAAGTTTTTATGTATATAAATAATACCAAAATACATTTGGGTGCATTCCTGCTATGGGAGGTGAAAATTGGGAACCCAAATCATGTGTAAGTCCCAGAATCAGGACCCTCTGTTCAAATGGTATGGATAGGTCCTATCCTCTCCATGGGTCTCGACCTATCTTTTTCTAATTCTCTGGGCTTCTGCCTTGACAATAACTATTATAAATAATGGTAATTTTCCCTTGAGAGCACATCAGACCTTAATTTATGCTTACCATTTTTAGCTAGAGTCTTTTGCCATAATCTTAGGCAGTATAAAAACTCTATCTATCTATCTACCTATCTACCTACCTACCTACCTACCTATCTATCTATTTACATTTGGGCCAGAGATGGAATTATGCAGTGAGTTTTGAGTAATAAAAGTGTATGTGTTGGAGCTGGGGTTGTGGCTCAGTGGTATAGCACTTGTCTAGCATGTGTGAGGCATTGTGTTCAATGATCCTCAGTGCCATATAAAAATAAATAAAATAAAGGTATTGTGTCCATCTACAACTAAAAAAAAAAAAGTTTCAAAAAAAGTGTATGTGTTGGGGGAGTAGTTTCTGATGCCTCCAAAACTCTCTACCATATCTTTCCCCAAGAAGATCTCAAACGTTATGTCTAAATGGCTCTGAGAGCAAATGGAGCCAAGAAAGGAAAAGATACATGGTACTCAGAATCAACATCCCAGATAAACAGGAATGTCTGAATATTGATTTGGGCAAGAGTTGAACCTCCCAAGAGGGTAACGAGCAGGAAACACAGGTAATAGGAAGAGTCTGAATGACAAGGCCTGGGTTGTCAGATTGCTCTGTACTTCACTGACTGAGAACTCTCTGCTGCTATCCTTTGGCAACTCCATCTTAACACCTACTGCTATGAGTACCAGAGGAAAGACCAACCAGGGCACTTACTTGGCCATGGAGATTGGTACTAGGAGGCAGCCTGGAAACTACAAAAGCCTTAATAAATCTTTGATGAGGAGGTACTGTGCTTTAGAGAAGAAATCAGAATTCTGTAAGTGGGCATGCACCCCACTCACAGTAAATTTGAAATTGTCACAGAGCTTACATCATCACCATCTTTTATCACTGGTCTTTGGCCAAAGATCACCAGAAACACAAAGTTGAATTTGTTTGTTGCAAGGGAGAATACATTGGGATCATGTTAGGTAATTTGAGGGGAAGGTTTAAAGAAACAGGGCTTAATTTTTTTCCCCAAAAGAGGCAGGGCTTTGCTCGGAAATGGATGCGGTCAAGGACAGAGGTAATTTTATGATTGAATATCTTAATGAATTTTACCTAGAAGAAGGGAAGAATATAGTGATGCCAGAGCTGTTAATTAGTAAAATGCTTAAATGAGACGAAAGAGAAAGATGTTTGGCATGTTTGTGATTTGCATAGCAACATCATTTTTGCCTGTGCTTAAAAGCAGTGGTCTTGCTTTTCGCCTCACTTCACCAAATGATGTTCGTGTTTATTATGATATGAAAATGATTTGTCCCCTTTGAAACTCATATTGGAGTTTAATCGCCACTGTGAGGTATTAAGAGAGTGGAAACAATCTAACTATGGTGTTTAGGGGAGGGGCTTTTAGGAGGTGACCAGAATTAGATAAGGTCATCAGGGTGGAGTCTCCATTATTGAATACAGGTGGCTTTATAAAGGGGGGGGGAGATAGAGAGATAGATAATGGGGAAGGGGTAGAGAGAGAATATACACACAACAGTGCCTCTTGCTATGTGATTCCCTGCACTGCCTCAGGACTCTGCTAACAAGGTCATCAATGGATACCGTCCTTTGGCTTTGGACCTCCAGAAATGTGAACCCAAATAAACCTCTTTATTTAAGACATACCCAGTGATATTTTGTTACTAGCAACAGAAAACAGATTAAGACTGTGTCTTTGGGGCTGGGGCTGGGGCTGGGGCTCAGCGGTAGAGCGCTCACCTGGCACGTGCGAAGCGCTGGGTTCGATCCTCAGCACCACATAGAAATAAAGATATTGTGTCCAACTACAACTAAAACCAAAACAAAACAAATAAACAAAAAACTGTCTTGTGAGCACGTTTGGGCTCAATAAAAGGATGCCAGGCCAGCTCCTACTAACACTGAATCTATTAGTGTTAGACCAGTTCCCAAATGCAATAAATTTCTCAATTCCATCCTATCCCCTTTTTAGTCAACGGGAGACAAAGTCAGGACACAGGTCATTAATCTTCAATTTTCATCATTGCTGAGTTTATACTGATTTGGTAATAATATTATCTAACAGTAGGTATTACTTTCCTTCCCCTCCCCCACCCCCTATTTCTACATTGGTTAGTTCCTTTAATTAGCACAATCATCCTATTATCCTCATTTTGTAGATACTTAGAGCTACACTGTAAGTGGTCATACCAGGATTCTAACTCCCATCTTCCGATGCCACCACTCTATTCTTTTCTTAACCCCTCTCCTCTCCACGTTAGGTTTCAAGCGCCCCCTATACAGCCTGTCACAATGGCACCAAACCTTTAAAAATCTATAATTTGCAAGTGTAGTTATCAGGGGTTTACCCTAGGGTCTAACCTCTCCTTGGTGCAAGGTCAAAAATCGAGGCTAAATTCTCTCTTTGTGGGTCCCTCCGCGCCCAATAGGAGCCCAGTCCGGGTTTATTGTGAGCTTACAGTACTATGAGCAAGGTCTCAGCTAGTGACGGGGCAAAGCGGTGTAGTCGCTTCTCGCGATTCCCCCCACCTGGGGCCTTCTCACCCGCCCTGCGGGGCGTCCTTAGCAACCCGCGCTCTCTCCCAGCCCCGCCCCGTGGGAGGCGGTGGCGGCATTTGCGCCTGCGCAAGGCCACAACCGCCAGCGAGCCCTCTTCCCCTCCCCTCCCCTCCCCCCCCCC